GGGGTGGGGAGGGGTTGGCCAGGGCGGGGGTAAGAATCGGCTCACTCGCCCCAGTGTCCCCTTGAGCGTCGGACTGGCTGACGGCCAACTCGGACACCACGGGGCCGGTAACCCGCCGCGGCGCGACGGCTCCGGGGGGACCCGGTGAGAAACGCTTCGCCCCGGCTCCCGCCCAGGGTTAACGCCTGCGCGGCCCTCCAGACTTTGGTCCCGTGTCCTCCTCTAGGGGGCGCTCGCCTTCTCCTCCCAGGACATTTGCTCCTTTAGTCCCGAGCTTTTCTCTAACGCCACAATTGTTCTTGTGTGTCCATCTTTGCCAGCCTGTGAGTGCTTTGAGGGCAAGGATCAGGAGTGATTCTGGTCTCTGGGACCCCGGTGCCCAGTCTAGGGTGGGGCGCACAAAATAGTTGCTCATGAAAGCTAGTGAGCAGGTTCTGGCTGTCCAACCAGCATAAGCCAAATTCACAGATCACATAAGGCGGATCCTGTAACTTTGGCCTCACCACAGTGGGCCTTTGTGGTCAGTTGGAAAGACTTACACCTACTACTACTACTATATGTGTGTGTATACACATAAATATAGTGTATATATTGAACTGGCATCTTGAGTAGGCTTTACAAATGCAAGATCTCTAATTCTCAGAACAATCCTGTAAGATTGAGGTGATGATCCTCAGTTTATAAAGAGAAAGCTGAGGCTTAAAGTAAGTGCAGGGTACTTTGGTTGAATAGGTACCAGGAATGAATCTCAAATTCAGGTGTGCAAGTGTATTAGACACCTCTTGTGCCCCATTTCAGATCCTCTTGGATCTATTTCACCACCACTGATCTTATTCTGGCTTCAGCAGGTATAACCTAAGTGAGCTTCACCTCCAGACCATATCTCAGGCTTCTCACCTTCTGCTTTAGGGCTTGTGTCTTGATACTATGGGATCAGGGGACTGCCAGAACCGCTCAGCAGCCAGACGGTTACAACCCAGCGTGCAGGTCTGGGGAGTAGTTAATGCCTCAGGGGGCAAATCTTTGACCAGTGGTTTCAACACCTGATGAGTACATGCTTCTTCCTTTTTCTGCTCAGACAGATGCTCCTCAGATAGCTCATATAGCTTTCAAACTATTTCACAGGATCAAGCAACCAAATGCCTTTGGAAGTGGCTGATTTGGTAATAGGTCCTTACAAGGACTCTCCTTCCTCCCCTGCTTTACAACCCCTTTCACTTCTAGTCCTTGGAATCACACTTGAAAATACAGTATGAGGAACCCACACTAAGGCATGTTGGTACCAAGAGTGGCCCCAGAAAGTAGCCCTCAGGCTGGAATTTTGAAACTGGACTTCTCACCAGTCAGATGGCAACACCACCACCATTGCTAATGATAAGTGTGTGTGTGTGACGAGAGGAGATAATAACACCTAAACTACATATTTCTTCTCTTAGAAACAGAAGTAAAAGTTATATTGATATATTTGTTATAATGACGTGTAAGATTTGGCTCAAAATGAGACAAGAATCAAAGATAACTGTACTGGTTTAACTAAAACAGTGATTCTCAACTGGGAACTACTTTGCTTCCAGGGGATATTTATTTGGAAATGTCTGAAGACATTTTTGGCTGTCTTGACTTGTGGGGTACTAGGGTCAGGGTGCTTCTAGACATCCTATAATGCACAGGATAGCCCCCTCATAACAAAGAAGTATCTAGTTCAAAATATCAATGGTGTCAAGGTCGAAAAACTCTGAGCTCAAATGTTCACGTTTCCTTAACTTGTCTGCCCAGGTATGGTAAGGTAGGTGAGCCCAGCTGATGATACGAATCAGGCCTCTACTGCTCTGAGGGGAGAATGAACCCACCACCCTCACTTAGAATGGGGAAAGGGTAAGGGGAGGAAGGGAAGCTGATGAGTTTGCTCTGATGAGGGAGTGAAAAGAATGAGCTTTGGTTAGATGCTGCATGTGATCCTGACGGAATCCCCAGCCTTCTGTGAAGACGAAAGCTGGAGAGCACACAGCTGAGCCATGCTCCAGAAGGTGTCTTCAACACCCCATGAGCAATATTCATCCCAAAAAGAAGGTTCCTGGTACAGCGGGAGCATCTCATCCTGGCTCCAGGGGTTGCAAGTAAGGGATGGGTAGTTGGTACCACTTTAATCTTTTTCTTTTGGAGTCTCAGCAAACAGGCCTCTTTTCCCTCTTTTAAAATGTACCTGGTGTTAAGAGCTAAGATTGTCTGAGGCCATGTGTGGGCAAGGGAGAACTGAAATAGGCTGCACTTTATATCCCTGTGACTATTTTGTAACTGCCAATTTGTAGTCCTTAATCTCCTTACCTTTTTCACCCATTCCCCTAGCCCCCCTCCCATCTGACAACCATCAGTTTGTTCTCTGTATCTGTGAGTCAATCTATATACTTCTTTAAAGACAAAACAGTAGACTTCAAAGACTGTGGTGGTCATTTTCTGACTGTCTCTTCCCCACTCCAGACTACCACACCACTGAGGTCAGAGAGTGCTGTATCTATTCTCTGCCCCTGCGCGAAGGGAAGTCGAAGGCCCAGTTTTCCCTGGGGATCGCCCCAGCTCTGCCTTTGCCTGGGGAGCTTCCAGACCCAAATCCTCCAGGGATGGCTCTGCCTCCAGAAACACTCAACCACCAGCTAGAAGCTGTGAGTGGGAAAACCATCTTTCATTAGTAAAAGAAGTATTTACTTTATTAAAAGAATGATTAACATTAGAACTTACTTGCTTGTAACAGAACCTTTTTAAAGGACCGCAGAGTCCCTTTAAGTGTGATCTTTTAAAGTGTTCTTAAAAATGTACCAGAGGGAGAATTTAAGATCTAAAGTCTTCCAGTCCAAGAATCTCTCAAAGGTTAAGGCAAAGAATCAGAAATAATAATTAGAACAGATCTTTGAGCACCTGATTTGGTGACAGGAAGGCAAACACCTTCTGTCCTGGGACCTTCCTCTTGCCCGGGGTTGGCTACTCCCACCCTGCACCTTTGTTCAGCTCCGCCCAGTGTGGCCCAGCTGCCGAGTCTCTGTCCCTCGGTCGGCCTCAGTCAGGCTCTGGCTGTGCTGAGATGGGGCTGCCCCAGCCAGGGCTGTGGCTGAAGAAGCTCTGGGTACTCTTGCAGGTGGCCCTCCATGTGATCTTAGGCAAAGTACAGCTGAAGCTGTTTCCCAGGAGAGTGAAGCAGCATATCTTGGCCATGAACCGGAAGAACCCGCACTTCTCCTATGACAACTGGGTTCCGACCCTCTTTGGCACCCAGTATTTCTGGTTCATCCTGAAGGTCCGTTGGCAACGATTGGAGGACAAGACTGAGGAAGGGGGTCTAGCCCCCAACTGCCCCGTGGTCTGCCTGTCCGGACAGCGGTGTAACATCTGGGACTTCATGCAAGGTCAGGAGGCTAATGGAACTTGAGAGGTGCTTGGAATGGGGATGCTCGAAGGGGTGGGGGGGGGCGTTGGAAAGTCCTGAATTCTTCTTCTAACTACTCCAGCTTCCCCTTTTTACTTCTTGTCTTCCTTCTACTTCCTGAAACCAGGACTTTTGGATTCTGTTTTCTGAGTGTCGTCGGCACCTTTGCAGGCACTCAAACCACAAACCAGCCACACTGGCCTTCGGCTCCTCCAGCACTGCCTTACCACACCGTCACTCTGCCTGAGCTGCACGTCACCCCACTCGCTGTCCCGTCAACTCCTAGGCATCCTTCAGACTTTCTGCTCAGTGACACTTCCTGCGACAAGCCACCCCCAACTACCCCCCAGACTAGGTTACCCTCTCCTGTATACTTAGCATCCTAAACATTCCTTTGTTATCACACCTGTCCTGGTCTGTAATTATGTGTGGTATGTGGTTGAGGTCTGTTGCCCTCACTAGCCTGCAAGCTCTGTGCAGGTGGAGACCATGGTTCTAACCCACTATTGCACCCTCATGGCTGCTCCTGACTCATGGGAGTTGCTCAGTGAATATTTTTTGGAGATCTCGCATGTGCTCTCTGTCTCTTCCAGGCAAACCAGCTCAACCCATTCGGGTTCTTAAAGACCTCTCCGATCAGTTTTCTCATTTTTCCTCATAGCTGCTCTTCCTGCCAGGTCTTCCTCCTCCCCCTCCTGCCCTCTCTTCCCACCTAACTTGCAAATGCCTCCCAGATACCCTTCCACAAGCATATCCCTGACCCATCAACACCCAGCTCACCAAACTTCCACACCTTCCCCCCCATGCATTCAGAATGAGTGCTCAAGGTCCCCCCTGGGCTATGCTTTGTGCTCAAGGTCCCTCCTGGGCTGACTCCAGCTTTGCTTCCCAATTTCACCTGCAAGCTTCCCCTCACGTTCGTTGCCTGCAGACAACTGCTGGACCTTGTACATCCCTTGCGCTTTTCCTTCTCTGACTTTGCTGAAGTTGTTGGCTGTTCCACTCCATCACCAACAGTTCAAATCCCCCTCATTATGAGGGCCCTGCTCTCCTGCCGCCCCGTCTGTGAAGCCATCTCAGATGCTTACAACTGGGCATGTGTTCTCTCTTTTCTTAATTCATGGCTCGCCATCTCCACCTCTCCTCAGTCACTAATTGTTCCTACCCAGCCTCGGGTTGCCTAAGCACAAGCGTTTTCTTCTTGCCCAATGGGAAGCCATGCAACAGGCTGTGTCTGCTTCATCTCTGAATTCCCAGGGCCTAGATACAGCGGGTAGAGAAGGTCCCTGAGGCAGTTGGCTAATCTAGTGCTCTTCAAAGTGTTCTTTTGAACCCAAATCTCACAGATATGCTTTATTACATAGAGTGCCCTGGTCAAAGTAGTTTGGGAAACATTGCACACTATACCCTCCTCTTGGAAATTCACAGTGCACATGAACATATAACAGGCTCTGAGAAGACCCGATGCCTAAAGGCAAACAAACAAAACTTGACAAAACTTTAACACAGCATTGACAAATTTTCCTACTACATCACACACACACACACACACACACACACACACACACACACACACACACACACCTCCCCACTCTCCACCAGAGGAAATGCCTATCATCATATTGGTTCCAAAGAACACCCTTTGGGAAATGTTGACCTAATCCAGTCCTCTCATTTTAGAAAGGAAATGGAGAAAACTAAGAGGCAAAGGTAACAGAGCCAGTGACTGACTCAGATCCAGAACCAGGGCCGCTTCTTCCTGGGTTTTTCACTGCACCTCAACAAACATTCATGAGTACCTCCTACGTGCCAGGCCCTCAGCTAGAGGCCAGGGACGCAGAGCTAGGTAAGAGCTTGCTCCTTTGCTCAAGGAGCTTATGGTTCTACAGGACAGGTGGATGTAATGAACAAATCCTTACAGTTCTGTGAGATGGGGAGGTCATGCAGGTAGGACCTTTGCCTGCAGGGCTTGGAAGTTTTCCTGGAGGAGGTGGTTTTGGAACTAGGCCTTGAAGAATGAGTAAGAGTTTTGTACCTGAAAGCGGAAAAGGGGAAGTGTTTGAAGCAAAAGGAAAGCCAAGAGGTTTTTGCTCATGGCTGTAAACCAGGGTGCACAAATGACCTCTATTTATTCAACAAACATTTGCCAAGTGACCACTGAAAATAAGAGCAATGAGAATAGCAACTAACTCTTATTTGTGTCTACTATGTGCTAAGAACTGTGTAGAGCCAGGCTGATGTGCAGAATATCAACCATCTAGCAATCAGTTCCATGAATGCCAACTTGCTTCATGGTAGCTTCACAGAATTTACTTGTCTCTTTTAATTGCTCACTTTCAGTGGGCCAGGTCAGATTTTAAAGACTATTCTATTTATCTCTGTTTTCTGCTATTATACCTGAGACTGAAGAAAGAAGAGAGGAGACTAAAATACAAAAGAAAACTCGACTTATGAAATAGAGTTGGATTTCAGCACATTGACGCAGAATCCCCTGAAATAATAGATTTTGGTGGTACAGAAATCAACACAACTGATCTCTGTGCTGGTAGACCTCATACCCAGAGAGGGAGACAGTGTAGTGAGAGAGGGGGACAGAAGGTTCTGGAAGAAGGGGGGTGGAGTAGGGAGGTATTCAGAGGAAGCCTTCCTGGAAAAGAGGAAGGTGAGCTGATTGTCTAGGGACAGTGAAGCCTTGGGAGAGGTGAGGAAGGGGGAGTGAGAACAGAGAAGGGCAGATGGGGAGGAGCATCAGTGAGTTTGGCAAAACTGGGGTGTGGGAGGCATAAAGGGGTGAAGGATGAAGCTGGAGACACCATCAAGGACTAGAACTTGCTGGGCGGGGGGAGCTATGTGTCTTAACAAAGAGTAGACTTTATCCTCAGAGTTCTAGAAAGATTTTTCAAGCTAGGAGTTAACTCAGTCAGGTTTGCTTATTAGAAAGACCTCCTGTAACTGCTCTGGAAACCCATGAAGCTACTGAAAAGCTCTGTTTTATGCTTTGGATATATATCTGCACTCATTTTAGAGCCACAGGCCAGAAGGTCTAGAAGAGTCTTTATCGATAACCCAAAGCAGCTCTTTCTGGTTTTAGATACAAAGGCCCAGAGAGGTAAATTATTCACTCAGTCACACAGCAAGTTCTTTTAGAGCCAGACTAAAACCTGTGCCTCTGACTCTCATTCAGTGTACTTTCTCTTATTGAGTAAGACAACAGAGGCTCAGATAAATTCTCAGCCACTGCCTGTCCTCTGTAGGTACATGCTCGTGCACACACATGACATATACATGCCTTTGACACACACACAGCCAAACATTCATTAACTGGTATATTGTGGTAGAAGGCAAGTTTGATTATTTATTTTCTAGGTACCTAGGAGTTAATCTGAAACCAGATTTATTTCAGCCCTTGTTTAATATCATTTAAAATCTCTCCAAGCACATTTTTGAGGTGTGATCTAAAATGTAATTATAAATGGGCTTTCTCTGCTGAGAGGGCCTGGCGTGCGGTTAATTTACTGGTCTGGGGGGTCATGATGGTAGGTTTGAGTCCAGCACTACTACAGAGCTGTTTTCCCACTTATACAGATGAGTTGAATTTGACAGTCCTTGCCCGGCACTGTTTTTTTTTTAAATCCTCACCCAAGGATATGTTTTATTTATTGATTTTTAGGGAGAGAGAGAGAAACATTGATCAGCTGCCTCCTGTATGCACTCTGGCCTGGGATCAAACCCCACAGCCTGACTGGAAATGAAACCAGCCACCTTTTGGTGCCTAGGACAGCACTCCAAATGAGCCACGGGGCCAGGGCATTGCCCGACATTCTTGAAATGGTGTTCTCTGCACCATGGCCTGTGGACACTGGCAGAGTGTCAGCCCTCACCACTGCTACCTCCTTGTGTCCATCTGTCCTCTCTCTGCTACCAGGAAAGTAGGGAACTGAATTTAAACTTTGTCCTCAATACTGATCACTGCACCCAACCACCCTACAAATAAACAAATGGCTCCGTCTCTTCAAAGGTCCTAATCAGTAGGTGCTGAATCTTTTTTTTTTTCCCCCAGTTAAAAACAAATTCCCAACAGCTAATATTTAACTCTGGTCCTGACCTTAAGTCTTTTGGATTAGAGGCCAGTGGCCAGCCACTTGTCCGTGATTGGCTCTGGGCTTCTACTGAGGCCTGGGCAACCTGTCTCATGGGCGAGGACTCATTGTGCAATCCACCAACAGCAACCGAGGCCCACTCAACACCCTCTACGGCTCCTAGAAGAAAATCCATGAGCCAAGGGCAAGGAGAACTAGGTGTCTTCAGAGAAACTGGCCTGCTTTCTCTTCTACTGAAACATGAGGAATATATAACATGAGGCCTTTTATTTGGCCACCAGGAAACTCAGAGTCAAATATCAGCTCAGTTATAATGAATGTAGGCACCTTAAAGCCTATTTATTTGTGTTCCACATTTCACTCCTCTTCTGTGCCTCCCAGAGGGACATGATTTTTTTTAAATTTCTATCTAATATTTTATATGTGCAAGCTGCTTCAAATCCTTTACAGAAGTAGATGACGGAATAACTAACCAGCTAAACCACAAGCAAGTTAAGGTGCCTCTGCTCCTGTGTGCCTGGCTGGGGCATGGTGCATTCATTGGTCTGGTGGCTGGAGGGAGAGAAAAGCCAGGAGCCAGCGGCCACAGACACACATACACATGCACACTGAATTTGGGGGCTTCTGTGAGAGTCTGCATTCACCCTACGAATATCCCTGTGCCCAGGGGTGCACAACATTAAATAGCAACTAAAAAGTACCATGCCAGAGTAAGAGAGAGGCCACAGAAGATTTTTTAAAATCTTTATATTTTAATATACTAAATAGTGCTTTTCCCCACTTTTTGAACAAGGGGCCCTGAATTTTCATTTTGCACTGGACCCAGCAAATTACGCAGCTGGCCCTGTTCCCACCCTTCACTGCCATTCTTGGAGTCCCCCCATCATAGCTCAGGGAGCAAATAATAGCTAATAACAACAGCTTACATTTGTTGAGCACCTACTATGGGCCAGGCACCATTTTAAGGCCTTATTTGTATTAACTTCTTTAATTATCATAACAATCCTATAAAGTATTATTACTGTACCCATTTGTGGATGAGGAAATTGAGGTGCTTTGAATGGAAAGAGCATTGAATTGAGAGTCTAAGAGCCAGAGTGTTAATTTTAGCTCCACTACTGAGCTGCCGTGTGACATAAGATAAGCCTGTAAAGCTCAGTTTGTCTATAAAGTGGAGGATTATCTACCTTGCAGTATACTAATCACATCACCTGAGAGAATGGGTGTGTGCTTGCCTTATAAACTGCACTAAAGGGACCCTTCATTCCCACACAGCAACTGCAGGTGGTCCAGTAAGACCGCCTGATAAAACCCTGCACTTTATAGAGGAGTAAACCGGCCACAGCTTCTGCTAAGTCATGCTCTCCAAGCTTCAGCTCCTCACTGTGCCCTCGACCCATCGTAGAGGGGAAATAAAGATACAAGTGGAAGCGAAGATGGTGCTTGCGAAACAAACACTGGGTGTAGATTATTGGTCGGTGATGGTTCCATTTCCGTTTCAGGCAAGAGGCCACTGGTGCTGAATTTTGGAAGTTGTACCTGACCTTCGTTTCTTTTCAAATTTGACCAATTCAAGAGACTTATTGAAGATTTTAGTTCCACAGCAGATTTCCTCGTCATTTACATTGAAGAAGCACATGCATCAGGTACACGAAGCTTCCCTGCCTCTACCTCCTCCTGCCCTCCTTTCTTGCTGCTCTTCCCCCAAGGTTGGGAGTGGGGAGAGGTATAGGAGGAGAAAGGGAAAGGCTTGCTGTTCACCCATCATCTCCCAGTCCCTGCGAGGTTTACCCACCACTTCTAACTTCAGTCTGTGCTTTCAACCAGGTACACAGAGCAGAAAACCTGGAGTGCCAGAGTCTAACTGGGGGAGCATCTAACATTCTGAATGGATAAATAGGGGAATCAAGGGGGAGGAGCTAATATGAACACAATCATAAGGAATTTAGAGCTGAAATGTCACAATTTAGCTACTTGTGAAATCCATCCTAAGACCTTCTGGGCTCAAAGGAACATCGTGATTCATCTCCCTCAGTGGTTCTCAAGCTTTAGAGACCATCAGAAGCACCTGGAGGGCTTGTTGGTTTTTTTAAAAATATATATCTTTATTGATTTCAGAGAGAGGAGAGGGAGAGAGAGAGATAGAAACATCAATGATGAGAGAGTCATTGATCGAGCCCACAACCCAGGCATGTGCCCTGACTGGGAATCGAACCCCGATCGCCTGGATCCTAGGTCGATGCTCAATCGCTGAGCCACGCCCGACCGGGCTGGAGGGCTTGTTAAAACAGACTGCTGGACACCCCCCAGAGTTTGAGTCCAATCTGGGGCGGGGCCTGAGTATTTGCATTTCTAACAAGCTCCAGGTGATGCTGAAGGGACTTATCTGGGGACCACACTTTGAGAATCACTTCCCCAGGTCAGATTTTACCTGGGACAGGAATCCTTTCTTCAGTCCCTAACAGGTGGCCACCCATCTTTATTACTTCATGGGAAATCTCATTCCTTTACCAGACACCTCAGTTTGTGAGAAAGCCCTTCCTTGTGATGTGCAGACATATCCCTCCCTGAAACTTCTACATCTCGGTCTAAGCCCCACAAACTACAAAATGGTCAGATAGACTTCTATCTTCCTGGTTTTCATGGGGATCAAACCCATGAATTTGGCCCAACTCTCAAACCCAGAGACTGAAGAAGGCAAGAAGAGGAAATGATGCCCTGGTGTCATCACAGCTCACAGCTGGAGCTCAGCCAAGGCTGATTTAACTGTTTGGGGCCAGCACTTCTCAAATTTCAATGTTTGCACTTAAATCACCTGGGATCTCAGTAAGCTGCAGATTCTGGCTCAGTAGGCGTGTCTCACCAGCCCCCCTCCCCCCCAGGTGATCTGAGACTGCTGGTTCAGGGACTACACTCGAGTAACAAGGTCATGGAGGATCTAGCTTTAATCTCTAAAAAATAATTTGCAAACTGTGACAACAGTGGTCAAATCATCACAACTGAAGTGCACAGAGCCAGTGTCCACCAATCCTAGGAGGTCTGTGGCCCAAATCAGTTCGCTTCCTTCTTCACAGACACTACATTTGTCCAGGTATATTATAAGGAAGCACAAGGTGTGATGTGAGGAACCGACTCTGGAGTTTCAGGCCTGAATGTGAGTCCTGGCTCCATCAGGTGCTGGCCATACAACCTGGAGCAACTTAGATTCCGTGCCAGCTCCTGTGCCACCAAAATGGGATGACAACACTGATCTCACAGAATCACTCATTCAGTAATACTTAACATGTGCCTGGTATATGCCCAGCCCTATTTTGGACCTGGAGATATAGAGACGAAAGGTACATACAATTCTTGCCTCTGAGGAACTGAGGACAGTTGAAGTTAGGAGTCAAGTTAGTGCTCCCGTCTGGGCTCCATGTTCTCAGCTGCAGGATGGGGACGAGCCCCTCTGCCCGGCCTCCCACAGGAGGCTGCCGTGAAGCTCCACAAGACTGACTGCCCAAACGTGATACAAGTATAAGCTGGTGTTACTGTCATCTACAAAGTTTTGATGTCTTGGGCAGGTAATAAATTTTTTAGATACTGGTTTTTCTTGGGGGAAGGGTACTGAGCAGAGGACTTTGAAGCACTGAGAAAGTGAAGCGAATTCTGCTGATGGACTTAAGCAACTTATATCAACCTGGGAGATACTATTATTGTAAACACAGGCCACGTGGCTTCCAAAGGAACCCATGACCATATTACCTGGGCTCCAGGCTTCCTAGAAATGGGGCAAGTAGAAGGGGGTGTAGCAATTTCTAGTTATTTTTTTCCACCTGTGGGCCCATGAGCTAATGAGTGCCACCTCCTGTAAGTAGGCAGAAGGGCACCCTGGCAAATGAGGTGAATTGAAAAATCTCCTTCCATTTAAAGTTAAGCAGCTTTAAATGGTTTTGTTTGGAAGGGGATGGGGGAAACATCTTCAGAGCAAATTAGCAGAAAATCTGCAGTATATAATAAAAACTGGGTTCTTTCCCACCTGTCTGTTATTTTGGGGCAGACAGACAAAGGAAACCAAAATTTTTGAGTAGCTTCTATGAACCAGGCAGAGTACTGGGAATTCCATACATGTTTTCCCATTTAAGCCTCACAACCATCTGCGTAATAGGTTCTATTAACCCCGTTTAACAGATAAGAAAACTGAGAATTTAGAGATTTTAGAAAACTTGCCCAATACTGCATGGCTTAGTGTGTTAGGGAAGGCTTCCTGGAGATGATGTTAGAGCTGTGGTTCTCAACTAAGGGGGATTTTGTATTCCAGGGGTCATTTGGCAATATCTGGAAACATTTTTGGTTGTCACAAATTGAAGTGGGGGAGGGGGGTGGGGAAGCTACTGACAGCTAGTGAGCAGAGGTCAGAGATGTAGTTCAACATCCTACAACACACAGGATAGCCCTCTACAACAAAGAATTATCTAACCTGAAATGTCAATAGTGCCAACTTTGAGAAGCCCTGCATTAGAATTGAGCCTTAAAAGAATAGGTAGGATTTCAAACATGGAAGAGATAGTAACAAGAAAGGGCTGAGAGGTGTCAGCATCATTTGAGGAGTCTACTCTGGCTAGATGTGGAACAGACTCTGGAGTTTCAGGCCTGAATGCGAGTCCTGACTCCATCAAGTGCTGACCACACAACCTGGAGCAACTTACCTTCCATGCCAGCTGTGACTGGAAATGTAGGTGAGGAAAGATGACAGGGATCATTAAATGCTGTGCTAAGGGATTAGTCTTATAATTGGAGTTTAAGCAGAAAAAAATACGATCAAATTTTATTTTGGGATGACAAGTTAGAAGGTAGTAAGATCAGGAGGTCATTGCCAGGCTAGCAGTTGTACTTGGCTCTAAGCTCACCCTGAGTGGCTTATCATGATGCTGTCAGTAGAGCTAACACATTAGCTACAGCAGCAGAAGTCACAGTATCCAAACAAGGAAAGAGAAAGTCCGCCTCTACTCACACTATAGCTGGAGACAGGAACTGTGATGAGAAGTGGGGAAGTGAGAGGCAGCTTGGGGGTGAGTGGGTCAAGGAACTCCAAGAATTACACCCACCTGGCTGGAGCAAAAAGCTGAAGGAAGACTGGAGAGATGGGCCAGGTCACTAAGGACCTGGTAGACCATACTGAGGAGGGATTTATCCTGAAGGTAATAGGGAGCTACTGAAAGATCTAAGCAGGAGAGTGACATAGTCAGATTTGCATTTTGGAAAAAACACTCTGGTGGAGAATGATTAGAAAAGGGAAATTGTCTGGACTCGAGAGCAGTAGATCCCAAACATCAGCATGTGTTAGAATCATCTGAAAGGCTCTGGAAGCAGATTGTTAGCCCCATTCTTGGTCAGTCTAGGGTAGGACCTGAGAATTTGCATGGCTAACAAACTCCCAGGTGACGCTGACGTTGCTGGTCTGGGCAGCTCACACTGAGAGAAATACTGCTCTAGACCCTTGCCTCTCTAAGTGTGGACCAGGCATCAGCAGCCTTGGCATCCTGGGAGCTAGCTGGAGTCAGTGCCACCCTAGACTGACTGAATCAGAATCTTCCTTTAATGAAGTCCCTGAGTGATTTATCACATTAAAGTTTGAGAAGCACTGGTCTATTGGACCCTCTCACATTGAAGAGCCGAGGTCTGGAAGTCAGGAGCCGCAGGCTTCAGTTCTGGATCAACCACTAATTCCCTTTGTGATCTCACGCATCTACCCATGATAGGAAGCTGGGCCAAATCATGGCCAAGGGCTCCTCTGTATGAGACCCCCAGTTGAAAGCGTAGGGGGGTATTTAGTCTGAAGGAAATGTGTGCCATGCTTGTGGGGTGCACTGCTTGGCCTTTCTCTTGTAGATGGCTGGGCTTTTAAGAACAACGTGGTCATCAGGACTCACCGGAACCTCCAGGACCGCCTCCAGGCAGCCCGCCTGCTGCTGGACAGGAGCCCCGGGTGCCCTGTGGTGGTGGATGCAATGAAGAACCAGAGCAGCCAGCTCTACGCGGCACTGCCGGACAGACTCTATGTGCTCCAGGAGGGCAGGATTCTCTACAAGGTGGTGACCAGCCCCCCCCCACCCCCCCCAGGGGCAAGGGCCCAGGGAGGGCAAAGGGCAGAGAGAGGCTTCCTGTCAGGCAGACCTGGATTCAAATTGCTGCCCAGCCATGTGACCATGGGCAAGTCTTGTCTTTTCTTAGAGTTTCAGTTTCTTCTTCTGCAAAATGGAGATGTTGGCTCTCATGTCTCAGGGCATGAAATAATGCACAGGGAAGGCCCTGGCATTTAGACGGGAGCTGGAGCCTACCCGCAGCCTTCTGAACCCAGAAGACTGGGCCCAGCCCTGGTTTAGTTTGAAGCTGAGAGATAGTTTCCATTTTCTAAACAGTGTTCAGAGAGGGTGACTTGCCTGAGGTCACTGCACAAGGCTGATTTTAATTCTAAATCCTCTGGATGGTGAGTCAGAAGTGGGAGGGTCTGAAGCAGCTAACTCTGAGGCAAGCCTGAACCTGGAGGGGCTGAAGGAGGCTGGATGGAAGAAAGCAAACTCTGAAGCTCAGAGCTGGAAATGCTGAAGCAGGAATTCAGGACAGGAATTGAGTCCTGGCTTCTTTCTGGAAGGATTGTGTTCCTCTTGAGGCTCCCAGCTGGCCAGGGTGAGGGACATAAACAGAGCCTCTGACACCCTGGGCACTGCTGGCCTCCTCTGAGAGGGCAGAAACTAAGTTTGATAGCTGCTAAAGGGATTTCCAGCCTTGGAGAGCACATGAAGTCCAACCATGCGGATACTCCTCTCCCCAGTGGGTGAGCTGCCCTGTGTATCCAAGTGAAACAAGAAACAACTTGTACATGAATCCCCAGGGTCCCAAGCATCACAGCGCAAGGATTCATGTCCTTCTTCCTTTCCTCTCCCCTGAGACATGATTCTAAGATGGCATGATTGAGGTAAGTTGGGCACTGTGTCCCTACCCTGGGTTAGGCCCTGTGGGAACACTGGAAACACAAAAATGAATGAAAAATGGCCCGCATCCTACTTGAAGGTGCTCCCAGTCTGGGGAATAAGGAACACCCAAAATAGAGTGTCACAGTATCCCATGTGCTGTGAGACTCCAGAGCAGGGGTCAGCAAACATTTCCTGTAAAGGGCCAGATAATAAATATTTTCAACTTTGTTGGCCAAACAATCCTTGTCAAAACAATTCAGTTCTGCTAGTATAACACAAAAATAGCGTCGATAAAATGTAAACAAAAGGGTATGGAGGCATCAGGACAGATTTAGCTCTTAGACAGTTTTCCAACCCTGGGGAAGGGTAAGCTTTTCTGAGGAGGTGGCAATTGCTTTGCTAAGGGATAAGCAGCCAGCCATGTGAGCATGGTGAGTGAAAATCATTGCAGATATTGGAATCATTGCAGACGTTGGAAAGAGGGTGGGCAAAGGCACTGAGGCATGCTAGGGCAGGATGTGAATGGAGAACTGAGGGCACTTGGGTTACAGGGGTTTCATTCTGGACCAAGGAGTTTGGCCTTCATGGTAGGGCAAAGGAGAACAATTGAGGAGTTTTGAGCAGGGGAGAGGCATGATTTAGATCCTTACTTTAGAAAGATTGCTGGCTACTGGGTGAAAAATGGAGTGGAGAGAGCTGCCCGAGTAGGAGAGGAAGAGGGCTGAACTAGGCAGTGGGATTGGAGAGGCAGAGGTGGTTCTGATGTAGAATGGATAGAACTTGATGTGAGGGGTGGAAAAGATAAGGCCAGTCTGCAGGTATGATTATGGCAGAAAACTGTATTTGTAAAGACCCATTTCTCCTTTTGAAACTATTCACTTTACCCCACTCTGGTTTTCTTTCTACTTCTGTCCTGTCTTCCTGTTAAATGTTGGTGCCACTCCACACACTCTCCCTGGGAGATCTCCAACACCTCATGGTTGTATCTGCCACTGACCACACCATCCTGATGACTCCCACATGGATATCACTAGTCCAGGTCTCCTGCAAGTCAGAATTCTCGGAAAGCTGATTTATTTCTCTTGCAGGGTAAACCTGGCCCTTGGAACTATCATCCAGAGGAAGTTCGTGCTGTTCTGGAAAAGCTCCACAGTTAATTTGGACAGATCCCCCAGTTCCAAGTGACCAGGAAGAGGGTTCCTCAAGGCTTGGCTCTCCCCCCAACCCAGTTGGCTTTTACCTCTTGACCTGTGTCCCCAAGTGAATTACCAGCTCCGATGTTCTGACCTAAGCAAACAATTGTTATAATCAGAAATGAAGCAGCCAGTGAGCTGTTAAAGAATGTGCAGCCCCACGCTGCCTCCACTGCAGGGACCACTTTCGTGTCACGATGTCTCAGAGTGTGAGGGCAGTCGCAGGTCATGGGTGCACTTCTGAAATGTGGTCTCTCGCCAGTCACTCTAATACCAAGTTGCTAGATATGGCAACCCTTACATTAGGTAAATGCATTTTACCAAATTTATCATTTATGGAACTGATATTTAAGGCACGAAACTGGTTTTCAAAACCAAGCATGGAGAGAACACCAGGTGTTTAGAGAGAGATGAGGAATTGGAAAAGGAGGGAGGAGAGGAGACAGTAAAGATGCTAATCCTTTCCCTGCCAAAAAACTGGAACAAGTCAATGGTGGTGGTGGTGAGGGGTGAGTTTTCATGGTAACACATCTCCAATTCTACTATAGAAGAGGTGGGTACTTACTTTACAGTCTTTGAATATCTATCTTGGAAATCTAGCTCTCTGTACTCTGGAATCTTCCACTATCAACAGTGTCACTTGGGAGGGGGAGGACTGACCAAAACATTTTAACCTTGGCCAAACTAGACAACAGGCACTGGCAAAGCTGTCACTCAGTTATGCAGAAGCTCATATTTGAAGTTCTATTTCTCAGATTTTTTTTTTGCAAGTCTCCTAATGGTCATTTGTGTTCAATTATATCAGACTAATGGATAATCATTGGTACTCATCTGTTTTAACTCTGCTTCTTTTCATATTTGTTTATGATGGCCACAGCCTAAAGTGCACACAGCTGTGACTTGATGTGAAAACAAAATATTTTAAGATGCAGCAGGCTAATACAGAATAATTAAAATACATCAGCCCATTTAGGATGGCTTCAGTGTGATCTTTCTATTTTCTTTTCCAATTTGTGTCAGCCTGTTCTGTCTTTTATTATACCCCAATGTACAGTAATCTGATCAGCTAAAATACCATATGCTGGAAGGGCCTCATTTGATGGGAAGAACACTCCGTCTCTGTTACGTGTCAAATGTGGCTTTGTCTGGTGAACTGCTGGAGAATTTTTCCACATTGGAATCAAACTACCTTCACAACATGACATAAAAGAATGAGCTTGGGAGACATTTTTCTAACATGAAAACACATTCTCCTTGGCTCTGCCTTAATTGCTACAATGTTAACATTATTAATGTGTTATTTTACACTTTTAAAAATTGCTATCTTTAGTCATCTACCAGACACAGGCACTTTCAGACATGTTATCTCATTTAATCTCTATATATCTTAAAGAGGAGATTATCATCTCCCTTTTACAAATGAGGAAATCAAGGCTCAGTGTTAAGTAACTTGTGGAGGGTCTCAAATTAGTAAGTAATAAGCTGAGATTCAAACCCCATCTCTAACTTCAAGGCCAGAGTCCTGCTCTAGTCCCTGCTGGCTGTGTGACTGGTTAAGCTGCCTTGGTATCTCCAACTATAATGGAATATCAACAATGCCTACCCCATAGAGAGGATTCATGAGAAAAGCAGTCAGAACTGGGCCAGCCATGGAAGCATTGGCTGTTATTATTATCATCATTATTGTTCTACAACTGCCTCCTTGGGCTCCCTTTAAGGGGCAAGGATGGAAAGACGACAGCATCTTGGCAGTCAGAAGTTAGTGGGCAGGTGGAGACATGGCCAGATGAGGGGGTAGAGGAAGTCAATTGGGCACAAATGAGACTTTAAAAAGATGATGGGGATTCAGCAGTGCAAAACAAAACAAAGGATAAAGCCACATGATTATATCTATTGCTTGAAACTTGCAGTAGTTTTGTAAGGTGAAAATGAAGGTTTAAGAACTCTATTTTCAATATAAAGTTACAGTATTACAAGTACTATATGAACTTGTTCTGGGCATCCACAGAACACAGAGAAAGAGAAAAAAGATTTAGAGATAATTTACTAGGCCTGTGCCAAAGAGATCAATCAGATAATCTCTGAAGATCCCTTCCAGCAATCTTTAAGGCTAAACACAGTGTTTTTCACACAAAGAATTATTGACATTTCAGTTTAGGAAGCTGGCAAAAAGAAAATCCTTAGCATTTCAATGTATTGAACATGAACACAATTGGTCTAACTCACCTTCCTTCTTAGAAACCTTAAATGGCTCCAGTGTTACAGAAAAATATCTGAAAGCATTAAAGGCTTTCTGTGATCTGGCTGAAATGTATAGTTTTAGTCTATTCTTTGCTTGAGTCCAATTTATATATTTATCATCCCCAAATGTATGTTATGGAAAAGTACCTACCTTCACATCTGATCACACCAATGTTGCTATTGGAATACCTTTCCTACTCTCCTCCATTTATCTAAAAGCAACCTTTCCAAGAGTAAATTTGTGCAACAAATCTTGGTAAGCAATTTATCAGGAAGTATCGAGAGGCTTAAAATTGTTCCTAACTTTGACTGAGTAATCCCTTTCTGGAAATCTCTTCTACAGAAATCATCTGAGAGGCAGGCAAAGGATTTATGCACAAAGATGTCATTAGTAGCATTATTTATTTTTATTTTTCTATTATAAGAATTTCAAGCATACATAAAAGTAGAGAAACTAGTACAATGAAGCCCATTTATCCATCACTCAGATTCAACAATTTTTTGCTATATTTGCTTTCAACTAACACTTTTTCCTTTAACAAAGTATTTGCTTAAGTATTTTAAAGCAAATCCCAAATATCATGTCATTTCTCCCCTACATACTTCTGTGTGCATCTCTGAAAAATATGGGCATTTTCTTGCATAAGCTTAATGCTAGTATCACACCTAGCAAAATGAACAATAATAACAGTCCATAAGCAGATTTTCTAATTCTTAAAAATGTCTCTTTTCATTTGCTTTGCCCAAATCAGCATCCAAATAAGAAGTACACTTATTTGGTTACTGGAACTCTTGCATCTCTTTGGATCTGGAGCAAACCCCATTCTAGATTAACATTTTTCATGACCTGACTTGGAGACCCAGGGAAGAGCTGATGTTGCAGTACAAGTCTAAAGGCCATCTGGAGGCAGAATTCCTTCTTGCCCAGGGGAGGTCAGCCTTTGTTCTGTTAAGGCTTTCAAGTGATTATGAAGCCCACCCACATTATAGAGGGCAATCTACTTTACTCAAACTCCTCCCAGTTAAGTGTTAATCCCATCCAAAAACGCCCACACAGAAACATTCAGAATAATGTTTGAGCAAATATCTGGGCACTGCGGTCCAGTTAGTATGATACATAAAATTAAATGACAAATATATCTCAGTAAGACTGTTGTGAGTCCAATTGTCTCTCCAAAAAGATATGTTCAAGTCCTACACCCAGTACCTTTGAATGTGACCTTACTTGGAAAAAGGGTCATTACAGATGTAATTATTTAAACTGAGGTCATTCTGGAGTAGGGTGGGCTCTTAATTCAATATGATTAGTATCCCTATAAAAAGATAAAAAGACACACAGAAACAGATATGCACAGAGAAAGATGACATGAAGACACATAGAGAGAATGCCATGTGATGACAGAGACAGAGATGGGATCTATGGTACCATAAGTCAAGGAATGCCAAAAATTGCTAGCAATACAAGAAGCTAAGAGAGAGGTAGAAACAACCCCTGCCAATACATTTATTTCCAACTTCTAGCTTCAGAACTGTGAGAAAGTAAATTTCTATTGTTTAAGCCACCAAGTTTGTGGAACTTTATTACAGCAACCCTAAGAAACTAATACAGACTACACAGACAAAATGTATTCTCATGTCATTTCTTTCCTGTGTGTTTATCAACTTGTTAAAAAGTCAGGTTCATTTCTATTTGTTTTCAATGTTTTGGAATTGCTTTTTTATTTTAATTTTTGGCTATATTAGTTATTTATGTTTACAAAGTCAATCTCTATAATAAAATATAACTTCCCCCCAATCTGTCCCATTCAGTTCCTTTACCACCAAAAATACTTTTAAAATAAAATAATATCAATAATGGTTGTCCCTGGAAACTAAGATTATGTGTTTTCTAACTCCTCTCTGAGGTTTTCAAATCAGGACAAAATAAAATTAAAAGAAAAAGAATAAAATGATTTTGTTCTACAGGGGCCAGTTCAAGTTCCATGACCTCAATGAAACCTTCCCATAAGTACTTTCTCTTTTCTAAATTAATACATTGTTTATTGTCTACACTGCTCACTTAGCCCTTTGCATCAATCAATCAATAAATTTAAAAATTAATGCACTGATAACAAGGGCACCATGTTAGATGCTGTGGGGATACAATGTATTATCAGTTAAGTTTTCATGTACAGTCACTTCCTTGATTAGGCTACATATTGAAGCAAGAGCTTTCTTATATCCTCCATGGTGCCATCACTGCTGACCAATGATACCAAATTCCTTTGCACAAAATGTTACAGAGAAAATAAAAAACTGAAACAGACTGATTCAAGTCCTTTAATAAAGTATGTCAATGACAACTTTATTTTTAAATAAATATAGTGTTTAAAAAATCATACAAAAGCATTTTGTTATAATTATTAAGAAAGATTTGAGACTGCTATTCCCTCTGCAGAAATGCTGTACACAGATGCAAAGTGATCAAAGGCTGATATAATAATGAATCTCAAGTAAGTGGCATGGCCATCATGTGCCTGTAGAGGAAAAATCAGTAAGAATGCTCTTAGTAATTCTAGTTAACTGTTAGCAGTTAGCAGAAAAAGGGGTTTGATGCAAGAGTAATAGTCTAAATATATAACAATATATAAGATAATGTTCAGAAGAGAAGCCAGTCACATATCACAGTACAGTTGTTCGAGTGTGTATTAGCCAAATATCAGCTTTGGTTTGATGTAAAGTAGCTGATGGAGCTAAAAATTACCACTGTACATTTCTATACAATTTTTTCAAAGTGTCTTTCTAAAGTAGTTTTCATGATAAAAGATTTCTTTTGGTTAACGATGCCTCGGAATATATTACCCTGAAACATTACTATACTTTTACATTTCTGTAATTTCTCTGGAAAGCAATTTGGCAATATATAAAGAAGCTATAAATATGTTTATATCCTTCAACCCAGTAATTCTATTCCCTGAAATTTAATCTTAGAAAATAATTTAAAAGGTGAAGATCATGGTAAGATGTCCCTTGTAGTGTTACTTATAATGACAGAGGGAGGAAAGAGGAAACTAGTTTGTGTTTGCCTATTTGCATATGTTTAATCTTAAAACTATAATTATGAAGCTTGTATATAATACTACGTTTTAAAAATGATGCAAATTGTTCATACATTACTATTATAACTATATGTGATGCATATGGTCAACAACTAGAAGAAAGTAGATATAGAAAAAGCTGTTGTGACAAGGTGATAAAATTATGAGTGACTTTCAGCCTCCCATCCCCCCTTATTATTTTCCAAATGTCCTATAATGATGTGAGTCTCCCTGATCCTTAATGAGTCCTGAAACAAAATATTCAGCAGAGACTTACTAAACATAACCTATTGGTTATGTGCACTGACCCAGAATCGAACCCACAATCTTTTGGTGTGCCTCACAATGCTCAACCAACTGAGCCACACTGGCCAGGGCCAATTAACATTTCTCTCTCACATTGATGTTTCTCTCTCTCTCTTTCTCCCCCTTCCTTTCTCCCTAAAAATCAACTAAAAAAACACACACATTCACTTTTTTCACGTTTTTGTGTTTGTCTAAAGCCAGAGCATGACAAGCTAGCAGGAACAGAGAAACTCCTGATGAGGCAGCAGCTTCCTCATCAACAGGCATTCATTCCACTTGACAAGCAAAGCCCAATGGAATATTGTCGACAAATGCTTGTTCTCTTTCCACCTCATCTCTCTTTGGCTTATTTGTTGCTGATCCTATGCTCCAGTTCCCCTTATCTGAATCTCCCTTGTCCTTTCATGCTTAAATTAACATCCAGTTTTGGCATCTCGACCTTTTTCGATTTCTATTCTAAAAGGCCTACAGAATCAAATGAAAGAACACAAAGCAAGTAATTACTTCCAAATAAGTAAATGAACACAATTAAAGCTAAAACAAGTGAATTCTGTTTTATCCTTACTGTCATTCTGTCTGTAATAAATAAAAGACTAATTTACGAATGCTACATTTAGATTACAATATTATTGAGAATAACCTCTATTGATTGATTAAAATAGAACATATAATATTCTGAGAGTATTTATTAACTTTATGGCTCTAGAGATAGGTTTAAAATTTAAATATATTGTGCTGGCTAAAAATAATATTTATCTCTACACAGTATATCTACTTACCATAATTTCTTCATTTTGAAGCTGCCCCTCTGTGTGAACTAGATCTAAAACATAAGTTTAACAGAAATGAGTTAGGGCTTAAAAGACATGAGGATAGCTACTAAAATTTATGTTCAGCAAAGCACGATTATCTGGTAAACTATAGTTAAACCAGATTTACCAGTGCTTTGGGGTTAAAATTTAATATACAAATAGAGATATTTGATATAAAATGTATGAAAGATAAACTGTTTATGAGCTATAAAATATCTCCAGTGAGTATAAACATAAGGAAATCCAAATGTAAATTATAGAAATATAAAGTGAAGAATGGATAAAATGTGAAAATCCCTTTTAAGGATCAAGCTACTAATAGCAATTGCAGGCCTGAAAGGAGCCATTTTATTGTTCCCATGGGCAACGACTAGAGCTCAGTTTCTCACAATAAATTTTTACTATGATGCAGAATTATTCTACCCCTGAATTGATCTTTTCTGGTATCTAACTTTAGGAAACCTTTACTCGTATAATTTTAGGACATATTAATTTTTTTGCTCATGAGTTAATCACATCAAACAATCCTTTGGAACCATGAAATATTTAATTGACATAATAAAAATATTGACATTATTTAGAAATTAATTTTATTTGTATTAAAATAGTAAGTGTACATAATTTTATTTATTTTTTTTAATTTTTTTTAGTGTACATAATTTTAAAAGGCACATACTATGAAAAGGGCAGTTTCTGGGAAGTGAGATTACATGTGACTTTCTTTCTGTTTCCTAACCTTTCTCTGGGGTAATGAAAAATAGTAATCCCCAGCTCAACCTCTCCTTTGTCCTCCAGTCCTGCTCCGTACAGGTAAACGTTTTTGACTCTTTAAGCGGGTTTTCCTGGAATGATATTATGTCTATATTCCTTTTATTGAAGTATCAATTTTTTACTGACTTTATCTTATGGTAGGTGAAAATTTAGATCTCTTGAACTAATATCCTCTTACTACTCCTCTGGCAACTTTCCCCTCCTGCCATCCTCTCAATTTTGAAATCAATACCTGATGGCTAAATGACACATCTGATAAAGGGTTAATATCCAAAATATATAAGGAACTCCTACAACTTAACAAAAGGAAGACAAACAATCCAATTTAAAAATGGGCAAAGGACCTAAACAGACACTTTTTCAAAGAAGACATATGGATGGCCAAGAGACATATGAAAAAATGCTCAGTCACTAATCATCAGAGAGATATAAGTTAAAGTGACAATGAGATACCACCTCACACCTGTCAGAATGGCTGCCATCAACAAATCAACAAAGGACAAGTGCTGAAGAGGGTGCGGAGAAAGGGGAACCCTAATACACTGCTGGTGGGAATGCAGACTGGTGCAGCCACTACGGAAAAAAGCATGGAGTTTCCTCAAAAAATTAAATATGGAGCTGCCTTTTGATCCAGTGATCCCACTTCTAGGAATATATCCTAAGAAACCCGAAACACCAATCACAAAGAACTTATGCACCCCTATGTTCATAGCAGTGCAATTTACAATAGCTAAGATCTGGAAACAGCCCAAGTGCCCATCAGTAGATGAGTGGATAAAAAAGTTGTGGGACATTTACACCATGGAATACTATGCAGCTGTAAAAAAGAAGGATCTCTTACCCTTTGGGACAACATGGATGGAACTGGAGAGTATTATGCTAAGTGAAATAAGCCAGTCATAAAAAGACAAGTATCACATGATCACACTTATATGTGGAATATAATGAACAAAATACATCCAGAGACATAGAAGCATGGAACAGACTGACAAATCTCAGAGGGGTGAGGGAGCGGGTGGGGAGAGATTAATCGAAGAACTTATATTCATAAATGCATAACCCTTGGACACAGATAATAGTATGGGGGAGACCGGGGGATGGGGTAGATGCAGGGTAGAGGGGATCAATGGGGGGAAAAAGGGGGACATCAGTAATAATTTCAACAATAAAGATAAATTTAAAAAAATACGTGATGGTTACATTGTCTGTATACATGTTATTTGCTGCTGAAATAAGTAACAAATTATTTTCTTATTCAACTCCTCCCCGACCAGGAGTAAATAATAACCTCATTCCATTTGCTAAGTTTTTTAAATTATGAAACATAGGAAAATTTCAAACAAACAAAAGACAGAACATAAACTCCTATATATAAATCATCATTTAGATTTCACTATTACTATTTCACCATACTTGATTTTTCTAACTTTTTTTGCTAAAATGTTTTAAAGCAAATATAAGACATCATGATATTTCACTTCTAAGTATTTGATTATCCATCTCTAAATAATAATGATATTTTCTTACATAACCAAATACCATTATCATAAATACACTTAAAATAATGCTTTAATATCATATGGTACCCAGTCTGTATTCAAATTTCCCCATTGTCCCCAAAATGTCTTGTTATAGTTGATTTATTCAAATCAGAATTGTCTCTTTTAAACTTGAACAGATTTCTCTCTGCCACGTACACATTTTTCCCCCCATGCCACTGAGTTCTTGATGAGACCAAGTGAGTTGTCCTGTAGAATGCCCCACATTTTGTCACCTTGCTTCCTCATGGTTTCACTTAATTTGTTCCTCTATCCTGTGTATTTCCTATAGTTTGGAAATTAAAGCTAAAGGCTTGATTATAGTCAGGACTTCATCAAATGTCTGACGGTCTTTGTCTTTTGTTACTTATGAATAAGTCTTCTGAATACTATGTGCATGAGCCAGGCTTGTTGCTAGTAGACTTCAATAGGGTGACCAGGAATGAGCTAGCCTTTGTCAACATCCATAGATCTTTTTTCTAGGGCCATTCAGTTTCTCCAAAGATGAGTCCTCCCATCTCCTGGCTGGGGCTATATTCTTGGTTGCTGTCATAAACAGCAGAGCATAGGAGGAATTCCCACTATTCAATATGCAGGCTTCCACCTAAATCCGTTTTCAACTCCAGGTCGCATTCACTCTCTCTACTATGCCTGGTCTCCCTGAATTCTGAGCCTCAATATTCAGTGTCCCTTGGGGAGGACACAGTCCTTGGAGGTGGTTTATTGGAGGAAGGATTGGTCACCTAGCTTTTGGGGGTAGAAAGTACCTAGGGTCCAACCACTTTGTATATAGATGTTCAACTAATGACCTTTTTTTTCTGGCTCATGCCTCACTCACATTTCCATATTACCATTTGCCTTCAAGTTCTAGACCTTTCTGGGGTTCTGTTGGGCAAACTGGCTTGCTTCTCGTTAATTTTCTCTTTGGCAGGCACTTAGGTTATAGCCTACTCCATTCAACTACAGAAGTTACTTCTCCATTGCATCCTCTCTTCCATAACATATATTGATCTCTCATGTCTGCTTTGGTCTCCTGTTTTTTTGTCCTTCTAGGTTTATGCTTTTTATCCCTTTACCATTATTTTCATGGTGTTTTGGGAAGGAATGGAGATAGACACATGAAGGCAGTATGGGTTTAACAAGAGGCTACCAGTTCTGCTGGAAAGACAAAACTAATATTTATTGTCTGTCTACCATATACCAGGCATTTTGTTCACAAAAACCATAAATGATAGGTATCATCTCCATTTTTCAGATGACTCAAACTCAGAAAAATTAAGTAACATGTTACCAGTTACATAACGAGTGAGTAAAGAAGCAGTCTTGTATTCAAACTTGGGTTTTTCTAGGCTCTAAATATGTCATGAGACTCATTCAGGTCATCATTTTTCATCTAAATGTAGACTGATTGGAAATACAGTCAAAGGACAATTCTCTACTCCCTCATGCTCAGAACAATGCTGGTGAAACTAGCACATACCTCTTTCAATCCACTGCTCAAAATCAACTGGCTCTTTAGATGTGCTCTTTTCAATCCGCAAAGTCCGCACTGACATTGTAAATAAACAAAATAAAGTATTAATTATCTAATTGATTCTATGTTGTTGTTCCTTATTCCTTTTTTTCCTCTGAGACTGTCAGGCTTTGATGGAAATGCATGGAGAACTGGGATCAGCCCGACTGGCGTGGCTCAGTGGTTGAACATCAACCTATGATCCAGGAGATCTTGATTCGATTCCCTGTTGGGGCACATGCCCAGGTTGCAGGCTCGATCCCAGGTGGGGGGCGTGCAGGAGGCAGCCAATCAATGATTCTCTCATCATCGATGTTTCTTGCTCTCTCTCTCCCCCTCTCCTTTCCTCTTTCTGAAATCAATAAAGATAAATTTTTTTAAAAAGAACTGGGATCAGGAACGCCATGTTATGAAAGTCACTCACTCTTTTTCCAGAAGTCCCTAAGGTGAAATGCAGTGTTGTGTCACTGTAATCTTACAAATGTTTGCAAACATACAACATAGAACTAGTGGAGTCTTTTTAAAAAAAATATATATATATATATTTATTGACTTCAGAAAGAGGAAGGAAGAGGGAGAGAGAGAGATAGACACATCAATGATGAGAAAGTCATCATTGATCGGTTGCTTCCTGCACACCCCTGACTGGGGATCAAGCCCAAAACTGAGGCATGTGCCCTGACCAGGAATTGAATCGAGATCTCCTGGATCCTAAATCGATGCTCAACCGCTGAGCCATGCCTGGCCGGGCTAGTGGAGCTTTTTTGAATTTGGTATCATTCAGATTTTCTTGTATATTGGTAACAATAATAATAATATCAGTATTAGTAGTCTTGGTCATAAATCTTTATCTTTAAGGAGAATCTCCTATTAGTCAGTCATACTTACTCATTCACTCTTGACTATAACCTTACAAGAAAAGTATTATTAACCTACTTTACTGGTGGGGAAACAGACTTAGAGAAATCAGGCAACTTAGAGAAGTCAGGCAAAGTGTTCAATGATAAAGAATTAGTAAGTGCCAGAACTGGAATTCAAACTTTAGGTCTGTCTGACTCCAGAGCATCTACAATTAATGACAGAAGAAAGACTTAACAGGAATGCAGTCATCTTCCTTCTGCACTGTTTCTTCTCTATTACCCCTAACCCAGTTCTGGCCACCCAAGATCCATTCTTCCCCTTCTGTGTTCTGTGCCCTGGGGCGATGATGCCTGTAGACTGCATCACCTGGACCCACTTGCTCACTGGCTACTGGACATATCTGGCCAATGGGAGGCACTGGGATGAAACTGGAGGGCAATGGGGAAGTGAGATCAGGTTGTTTTTTCTCTAGTCCCTTCCTGCTTCAGTGCCATGTCTTTGACAGTGGTTATGCTCCTTCGTGATTACAGCTCCTGCCAGGCAAGCCCTTATTTACTGGCTCCAGCTTTTACTGGGCTCCCATAACACTATTTCCTTCACTTGGCCCAGGGGTGGTAATGGCATCCTGCTGTAGCCAGTTCCTGGGTGTCTCACCATCCCTGATTGAGTCCCTTAAGCTAGAACATAATTTTGTAAGTAGACCCATCAATAAAGTCTCTTCATTTGAACCATCTGGAGTGTATTCTGTTTCCTGCCATGATTCTGTCTAATATACTTTATCCTTATATAAATATAAGGCAGGATTAGAAAGCTATTCCAATGGGAAATTCTCCTCCTAAATCCCACAGAAAAATGTCATTATTAATAGAAGAATCTAAATTATCCAATGCAAATAACCAGAGTTATCAGATTTTCAGAAAGAATTTGACAAAGAACCCCAAGCCAAACAATCTGTAATAAATATGTCAAGGAATCTAGCGTTCTGGCAAGCTGGCTTCTTACGTTCATGATAGGGTCTTTTGCCAAAGACTTTCACATAGTAAACTGCATGGAAATTATTATGTGCTTTGGAAGGGCTTCAAATTTGCAGTTTCATAGAGCCTAACTGTGCTCAAGGCAGTTAACCCATACTCCCCACTCTCCCACCCAGCAATAAGCCTGGATTCCATGTTGCAAAGAAAAATTAGTGTTTTGCCAAAAGTTTACATATGTGCCCTCTGCCTATGGAAAAATGAAAAGATGATGAAAATTAATGTATGATTTGCTTACCAAAGTAACTCTGGATTACAAGCTTTTCAATTCTCACATGTCTGTGAAAAAAAACAATGAACTCTTGGGGAAACATTCCTGTGGTGGTCCAAAATGTTTCTGGATTCCTATTGTTAATTATGGAAAAAAAGAGAAAAAAATAACCAAATAAAAATTAAACATTCACAACATTCTAGTGAATAAGTATTTAAAAAAATAAACAACCCCTGGATTCTTGCAATCTCTTTCTAACTGTTCATTTTAACTCTAATTTCTCCCCAATTTTAATAATTCTTCTTTACTACTACCACATATATTTTCTAAAAGCACAGAAACATAGAATTTATGTCACTCTTCTCTAAAGCCTTCAGTGACCCCTTACTGCCTATAAATCTAAATGCCTTAGTATGGCATTTTACAACTCTGTAGATAATAATCTGGTCCCATCATTAAAGTACTATATCCTTACCTTTCATACTATCACCTCCCATTACATAGTCACATTGGGCAGTTAAAATTCTGCAAACATGCCATGCAAGCTCATGCTCCTATGCCTTTATATGTAATAAATCCCACAGTGCAATGTGGTTTTTTTCCCCATTAAGTGGTTAGTTGTCGTTCAAAAAACTTAAAGAGTTGTGGGTGTTTTGTTGTTGTTGTTGTTTTTATCTTTATTGACTTCAGAGAGAGGAAAGGAGAGAGAGAGAGACAGAAACATCAATGATGAGAGAGTTATTGATCGAGCCCGCAACCCGGGCATGTGCCCTGACCAGGAATCGAACCCCGATTGCCTGGATCCTAGGTCGATGCTCAACCGCTGAGCCACGCCCGGCCAGGCAAGAGTTGTTTTTTTATTTTATTCAAATATTTACTATTTCCAGTGAACTTAATTTCTTTCTGTAGGTTTGAATTTCTTTTTTAAAATTTTATTTATTGATTTTTAGAGAGAGGGAGGGAAGAAGAGGAAGAGAAGGGGGGAGGGAAAGGGAAGGAGGGGGGAGACAGAGAGGGGAAAACATGGATTTGTTGTTCCACTTATTTATGCATTCATTGGTTCCTTCCTGTATATGCTCTGACTGGAGATCAAACTCACAACCTTGGCATATTGGGAAGACACTCTAACCAACTGAGCTACCTGGCCAGGGCTGGTTTGAATTTCCATGTATTATATCACTTTAACCTATAGAACTTTCTTTAGCATTTCCTGTGATGCAGGTCCACTTGTGATGAAGAAAATCTCTTTATCCTCCTTTTTTATATTTTACCTAGATACAGAATTCTGGGTTGACAGGTTTTTTTGTGGGGGGAGAGTCTCTTTTTTCCAGCATTAAAAATATTTTTCCACTTCCATCTCAGCCGCCGACATGCCATCCAGACTAAGGAAGACCCGGAAACTTCAGGGCCACATGAGCCACGGCCAGGGCCACATTGGCAAGCACAGAAAGCACCCGGGAGGCCGAGGTAATGCTGGGGATTTCCATCATCACAGGATCAACTTTGACAAATATCAACCAGGTTACTTTGGGAAAGTTGGTATGAGGCATTTTCATTTAAAGAGGAATCAGAGTTTCTGCCCAACTTTCAACCTTGATAAACTGTGGACCTTGGTCAGTGAGCAGACATGGGTAAATGCTGCCAAACACAAGACTAGAGCTGTGCCCATCACTGATGTGGTGTGACAGGGCTACTACAAAGTTCTGGGGAAGGGAAAGCTCCCAAAACAGCCCGTCATTGTGAAGGCCAAATTCTTCAGCAGAAGAGCTGAGGAGAAGATTAAGGGTGTTGGTGGAGCCTGTGTCCTGGTAGCTTGAAGCTACATGGAGGGAAGTTCATTAAAATGTCCACAGGTGAAAAAAAGAGAAAAAAAATTTCCACTGTTATCCGGATTTCACTGTCTGTGATGCAAAGTTAGCTGTTGCTGGTACTATTGTTCCCCTGTATTAAATGCATTTTTTTTCCTTCCAGCTGTTTAAATTTTTTTTCTTTATATCTATTTTTTAGCAGATTATAATATAGTCTCTTTATATTCATCCTGCTTGGGGTTTGCTGGGTTTCCTGGACCTATAAGTTGGCATTTTAAAATAAGATTGGGGATATCTGGCCCAAAAGCAGAAACAACCCAGATATCTATTAGCTGATAAATGGATAAATAAAATATGCTATATACATACAATAAAATATTATTTGGCAATAAAAAGGAACAAAGCACTGATATGTACTGTAACATAGATAAACCTTGAAAACATGTAACTGAAAGAAGCAAAAGACCACATATGTATAATTCCATATATATGTGAATAGGCAAATCTATAGAAACAGAAAGTAGATTAGTGGGTGCCAAGGGGTGGTAAGGATAAGAGAAAAACAGGGTGACTACAATGAATTGCAAGGTTTCTTTGGGGGTGATAAAATGTCCTAAAATTGGTTGTGCAGATTGTTGCATTACTCCATGAATATACTGGAAGCCACTGAATTGTATACTTGAAATGGGTAAATTGCATGGTGTGTGAATAATAAGTCAATGAAGGAGGAGGAGGAGGAGGAGAAGAAAGGGGAAGAAAAAGGAAGAAGAAGAAGGAAGAAGAAGGAAGAAGGAGGAAGAAGAAAAAGAAGAAGAAGAAGCCGGGTTTCCTAACTCACAATTCTGGGTTTTTAATACAATGCTTAATATTTGACAATTTTTAAAATTTATATTTCTATAGTTTTAAATATTATTTATTTAAATTAATTAAATGACTTTTAATTGCCCTATTTTTTTCCTTGGGTGCTTTTAATGAACACAACTAATATAACAACATCAAATAGTATGTATACACATGGATTTCAAAATGACATATAACTGAATCCTCATATTTAATGAAGTCATCAAAATAGTTTTCTTTTAAAGAAGGCTTTATAGCTAATGCCTGTTTAGTATCTATTATCTCCCATGATTTTTTCCACAACTCTGAGCTAGTCAAGGAAGGTGGTATTATCCCCATTTTTCAGACCAGGAAACTGAGGCTCAAAGAGTAACACATATACTCTCAGCCCAAGGTAAAACATATAGTTCACTTCTCAGGAATTTTAACCGTAAATCTAGTATTCTTGTACAGTACCCCAAAAAAGCTAATTCTCTTCTTTTTCTCTTAATTCATTTTTTTTTTCTAGCGAAGAACTTTTTCTCCTTTTTCATTGATATATTAAATGCCAGAGGAAAAAGTAGAGTTAAGAACAAGTAGAAATATAATCACTTTCTTTAAGTCCTATTTCTGGGAAATGGAGAGTTGGGAAATGGAGAGTTGCCCCGTTGGGGCAAATTTATAGCACTGTTTACTCCAAATAATTCCATGGTTACTTCCATTTAGACAAACCAATTTATGAGCAGAGACTAATTTTTAATATCTGCTATATAAAATCTAATTGTATTTGTTGGAGTTGAATATGGATTTAAAAGTATCCGATGTGCTCTATTCAGTTACCAGGTCAGTAACTACTTTTATTCCATGTGGTTTTTGTACTAAGGGTTTTGTCTAGTCTAAAAAATATGATCTCCTTAGTCATTCATTAATATGGAGTGATATGGAAAGATCTCTATTTCTGGCAAACAACTTAAGGTGAATCTTTATAGGTCTATGTATTCTTACAGCAGTTCCCACGTTAATTTTTCTACTCCAAGGCAAAGCAGGATAACTATTACCTGAATTTTAGCAAGCAAAAAACTAGAGGATTCAGAGGCAGAGGCAAAAAACAGATACCAAATTTTTGATGTAAACCTTAAGTTTGGGTTATAGTGTAGTACAAAGAACCCCAAACCAGGAGTTAGAAGATATGAGTATTAATCTTGAGTCTGCCACTTGGTTGGTTATCTGTGTGATTTTGAGCAAGTCATTTTACCTCTGATCATCCTTTTCCTCATCTTTACAATGAGGTTGAAAATACTTTTTTTTGCCTCTTATTCCCCAAGCTTACAGTGTGTGTCAAATAACAGCGTCTATGAAACTATAAACTCCTATGCAAGTGTAAAGTAACACATGAACATATACATATATATGTATATTTGTATATGTGTGTTGTGTGTATAAATACTCAGCTACTCTCCAATACTAGTTAAGTCTGACTAATATTTGATGGTCAAATTCAATAAACTACTCAACAAATATTTTAAGACATTAAGGAGTTAAAGATGAAGATCATAGTCTTTGAATTCTAAGAATTCAGTTAAGAAATGAACATTAAAGATAAATAATTATACAGTAAAGAAATAAGGTAATAAAGGTATCAACCAAATTCTACTGGAGTCCAAAAAAAAATGTAAACTCATCCTACCTGAGAGAAAGGGGGAGATGTCAGAAAGAAGATAACAACTAGGCTTAAAGGAAGAGGATGAGTTGCACATATTTATCCAGATACATGGGCTTCACAACAGAACTCAAAAAACCACAAGATCTGTATTACAATTGGCTCTGCCTTCAATAGTTCAAACTAGTATCTGACCTCTTTAGACCTGTCTTACCACAAGTCTAAAATGAAAGGTTTAGATAAGATGAACTCATTAAGTCCTTCCAGTTCTAAGATTATATTATTCTATTAATCAAACTCTGGTCATTGTACAAATACCAAGAAAGAGAACTCAAGAGAGTGATAAAATAGCCAGAGTTCTCCCATTAATTACTTTTTCTTGGAATTTAAAAGTCTGAGAACGATATTCATCTCTACCTAGAATAAACTCTAGCATGGTGAAGAGTAGAAATTGGAATAATATCAAGAGGCCAAGAACCAAATAGGCAGGTAAATAGCAGATAGTGAAACATTCAGTTTAGCAAAGATGTTGCTTAGGCTAATAAGGAAATAGGTAGTGGCAAGAAAGTTACAAAGATTATATTTCTATTTACTAAGAAAAACTTGCAATAAAACCATAACCAGATATTAAAATGTATACTTCCATCAAATGATGTGGTTGCTGTTTGAAGATTTGCCTTGTTAAACTACTTCTTAAAAACCATTTGTAAAGGTCAGTTTACGAATTTTTAACAAAAGAATCAAAACCTAAACATATACAACTGAATTAGTTTCAGAAATGGGACCAAAGGTGGATATTGTGAGGTAATCTACTTCACCAAAAGTTTATTAAACTAAGTTTAACAGTGTTGTTGTAAAACACAGTCCTAGTACTCAAGGGGTTCACTGACCTACTATCAAGACTTTAAGGAAGAAAAAATAGAAACTCTTACCCATCAATAATATTTTCAGGGGGGTGTTTTTCATCACTTGAGGTAGCTAAAATCACTTCAGTCCCTTCAGAGCTCAAACAGAGATCAACTTTTCTCATTTTAAACTGTTTAACCTGAAACACACACACACACACAGTAACAAAAGAGTAATGATAAAAGACACTTCTTGATTCTGTGTACTTCATCTGAGAAAAGGAAAAGAGAGAAAGCCTGTTGCTTAGCACACAGCTTAACAACCAACTATTCAACAAGTGGGAAGGATTCTAACATGTTTATTTACATAAGTAAACTTCAGACGTCTCCCAGGAATAATCTATATGAGTATTTCTACTACACTACTCCAGAAAACAAGTCTTTGACTACTCTGACATAATTTTTCTGCTTCTAAAATTAAAAGCCCTCAATAATTCTATAGGAACAGCTAACAAGCTAAGGTGACATAAATGAATGGGTTAATTTTTAAAAATTACTTAAATTATTATATTTCTGAAATTATTTTTTAAAACCCTGGAGCATAAAAACAGGTTCTTTGTGACTATTTATCTATATATTTATCAACTGAAGTAGCAAACAATATTATTTATATCTTAAACACATCATCTTTTTTTTTTTTTTTTTTAAATAGGAACGTTAAGAGAGGACATCCTTTTACTTATTTTCAAATTCTAAACCACTCACTTGGGTCATGGGCTTAAAGACATTTATGTTGTATGGTAATATTTTAAATTTAATAAAAGTATCCTGAAAAGATAAATTACTGAGCCTCTACTATGAACCCTGGTGGGTAAGACAGAAGGAAGACATAGGCCATTTTGTCAGATGTCACTCACTTTCCTCCTTGATCTGGCGGTGACAGGGTGAAAACTAATATATAGATGCAAAGTGACTGGAAAAGCTGTATCTACAAAGAATTAAAAGAGTGTTTAGAAAACTAGGAAGACTTCCAATACCCTTCACAGACTGATCTCAATCTAACTTTTTTAAAAAATGAAGCAATTTCAAACAACCAAATGACCAACTACAGAGAATGTTATATATATTAAACGCCTATGTACCACAGCCCTGATTGAATAAATGTTAACATTTTTGCCATATCTACTTAAAAAAATTTTTTTGAGAAATATGTAACCCCTCACTGGCCCATTCCCTTCTTGGCCCAGAAGTAACAGCTATTCTGAAGTTGATGAATATCCCTCCTGACTGTATTTTACACTATTATATATATGTCTCTATAAACAATATGTACTGTTCTTTGAAAACTTAGATGGTTTCATAGGTATATATCCTTTTGCTACTTGTTTTTTTTTCATTGAATATTATGTTCTCAAGGTTTTATCATGTTGATACATGTAAATCCACTTTATCATTTTAACTGCTGTAAGGGATTTCTCAGTTTCTCTAATGGTGGGTAGTTAGGTCAGTTTCCAATTTTGCTATTATAAACAAATTCGCAATGTACATCTTTGTGCCGTGTATCCTTATGCACATATGGAAGAAAGTTTTTTTTAATTTAAAAATTTTTTCTTATTTATTGATTTGAGAGAGAAAGGGGGAGAGTAAGAGAGAGAGAGGGAAATGGATTTTTGTTGTTTTACTTATTTATGCATTCATTGGTTGACTTTTGTATGTGCCTTGACCAGAGATCAAACCAGCAGCCTTGGTATATTAGGACAATGCTCTAACCAACTGAGCTACCTGGCCAGGGCAGAAAGTCTTTATGATAAAAGAATCTCTTTATAGAAATAAAACTGCAGAAACTTAGAATCAGCATATCTCCAAGTCAATAATTGATCAATTTGATCTCTAAATTATAGCAATTTACATTGCCATCAGCATTGTACAAGAGTTTCTGCTTCCTCATAGTCTAATCATAATCTATGTGGCATTGTTAGACTTTTGGCTTTTGTCAACCTCACTGGTGTGAAATGGTATCTCAATAAGGTTTCAATTTGTATTTCCATGATCATTAGTGAGGCTGAATACCGTACCATATGTTTATGGGCCATTCAGGTCTCTTCCGTTATTTGCTTTTTCTTATCCTTAGCTCATTTTCATATCAGGTTGGTTGTTCTAAAATAATTTTTTTTGTCCATTTCTTTTTGATTTGTAGGTATTTTTAAAATAAAATATTCAGGATAGAAATCCTTTGTTATGTGTTATAAGTATCTTCTACTCTGTGGTTTGATTTTTCTTTGTAACTTTGGTTTTTTGTGTAAGAGTCCTTAAGTTGTTTTAAAGTTTTCCCCTCTTACTGTTCACCTCTTACTGTTCAATCTACTCTTACATACCTATGGCTGTATTTTAAATGGGATCTTTAAAAAAAAACACACACAAAACCTTTATTTAAAAAAAAAATCTTGGTCTTGGCCTGGTAGCTCAGTTGGTAAGAGCATTGTCCCCATACCCCAAGGTTGCAGGTTCAATACTGGTCAGGGCACCTACAACAATCAACCAATGAATGCATGAGTGGGTAGAGCAGCAAATTGATGTTTCTCTCTCTCTCTCAAATAAATTTTAAAACAATAGGAGTTATTTGATCCTGTAAACCTGATAAAGTGTTTGTAGGTAGATTTTTTTTTTTTACTATTTCAAGTTCAATAGTTCTTTCAAGTTTTCTACACTTTTTTTTTTTTTTAATTGGCTTTAGAGAGAGGAAGAGAGAGAGAGAAACATCAATTTGTTATTCCAATATTCATGCACTCATTGGTTGATTCTTGTATGTGCCCTGACAAGACATTGAACTTGTTGCATTCGGACCACGCTCTTAACACCTGAGCTGCCTAGCCAGGGCAAGTTTTCTACACCTTCTTGACACAATTTTGAAATTTATATTTTATAGGAAATTATCCGTTTTGTCTTAGTTTTTATATTTATTGGCATAAAATTCATTTTTATTGTAATTGTAAAATCTAGTATGATAGAATTAAAATTGTGGTTAAGGTTGGTCAAGAAGGCATATATTCTAATATATATATATTTAATATGTTTTTATTGATTTCAGAGAGAGGAAGGGAGAGAGAGAAACACCAATGATGAGAGAGAGTCATTGATCAGCTGCCTCCTGCACGTCCCCCACTGGGGATCGAGCCCGAAACTCAGGCATGTGCCCTGACTGGTAATCGTACCTCCATCTCCTGGATCATAGGTCGACGCTCAACTGCTGAACCATGCCTGCCAGGCTAATATTTTTTTTATTTGTGCATTTTTCTTGCTTTTATTACTACTGGTACCAGAGGGCTGATATTAGATAAACATTAACCCTTAGTTTGAGGAGAAGATTGTGAATTCCTAGGAATAACAGATTGATGAACTTAGATGTTAATACTCAAAAAAATTATTAAATTTCATTATTAAAATGATGGCCTTGAAAAGGTAAATAAGAAAGTAGTAAAATAAGTAGCCGTAACATTAGGTCACAAAAGTTATACCATATTTATACATTTCTTTTGTTTGTTTGATAGAGTTACTACCAATTAGGGACATGTTCTGAACATTTCAACAAAACTTCGGACAAAGCTTCTCAAGATACCCTGTAGACTAGACAGATGAAGAAATGTGGGTTGGCTGACAGGTAGTACTTTAAGTAGATATTTATAACTCTCTGAATGGCTATGCTAAAAGAATGATGAGTAATGGAATGAAATAAACTGTGAAAGACCTCCATCTTTATCCCATTCAACATTTTTATCAATTAAGGGCGGGAATAGTATGCTTATCAATTTGCAGATGACACAAAACTGGCTAATATGCCAGATGACACAATCAGCACACAAAAAGATCTGAGCAAGCTAGAAAGATGGGCTGCAATCAATAAGATATTTAATAAGGCTAATAGTAAAAGCCTATGTAACCCAGACTCAAAAAATCAATCACACAAGGATTAGTCTAGATAGGAGTTGGCNTCAGGCATGTGCCCTGACTGGTAATCGTACCTCCATCTCCTGGATCATAGGTCGACGCTCAACTGCTGAACCATGCCTGCCAGGCTAATATTTTTTTTATTTGTGCATTTTTCTTGCTTTTATTACTACTGGTACCAGAGGGCTGATATTAGATAAACATTAACCCTTAGTTTGAGGAGAAGATTGTGAATTCCTAGGAATAACAGATTGATGAACTTAGATGTTAATACTCAAAAAAATTATTAAATTTCATTATTAAAATGATGGCCTTGAAAAGGTAAATAAGAAAGTAGTAAAATAAGTAGCCGTAACATTAGGTCACAAAAGTTATACCATATTTATACATTTCTTTTGTTTGTTTGATAGAGTTACTACCAATTAGGGACATGTTCTGAACATTTCAACAAAACTTCGGACAAAGCTTCTCAAGATACCCTGTAGACTAGACAGATGAAGAAATGTGGGTTGGCTGACAGGTAGTACTTTAAGTAGATATTTATAACTCTCTGAATGGCTATGCTAAAAGAATGATGAGTAATGGAATGAAATAAACTGTGAAAGACCTCCATCTTTATCCCATTCAACATTTTTATCAATTAAGGGCGGGAATAGTATGCTTATCAATTTGCAGATGACACAAAACTGGCTAATATGCCAGATGACACAATCAGCACACAAAAAGATCTGAGCAAGCTAGAAAGATGGGCTGCAATCAATAAGATATTTAATAAGGCTAATAGTAAAAGCCTATGTAACCCAGACTCAAAAAATCAATCACACAAGGATTAGTCTAGATAGGAGTTGGCAAACTATTGCTTGAGAGCCAAGCCTAGCCTGCTACCTGTTTTTGTATGGCCCATGAGCTAAGAATGCTTTTTATAACATATAGGTTTGGTTCATAACCTATAAGGCAAAAGCATACTGTATCTGCCCACAAAGGTAGAGAACTGCACTCCATCAAAATTTTTTAACTTGAACTTAGTGCCAGGCACTGTGCTGATAATGTAAAGATAACAACCTAAGACTAAACCTTGGTTCTTGCCTTCAAGCTCAGTTAAGGAAGATGGACAAGTGTGCAACTAATAATATAACGTTATATGCTAATAGTGTGATCTACATCGAGAATACTGTGTTCAGTTCTGGGTAGTACATTTTAAATAGGACATCATCACGCTTGATATTGTTCAGAGGAGAGCAAAAAGTTCTGATAATCTATAAACTGTGTTACATGGATAAAGCTAAAAGAATACAGGCTGAAAATTTCAAGAGAGTTGAGAGATATATGACTACAATTTTTAATATCACAAGTGTTCCGAAGTGGAAAAAGGATTAGAATTTTTCTGTGACAACTTCAAGAGGGAGAACTAGACTCAACAAATGTGAATTTTAAGCAGGAAGACATCATAGATATTAGAACTTTCTGGAAAAATAAAGATTTTAAATCTTTTCCATCCCTGCAAGTGTCCAAGACTAGGTAATAATTTATGAAGGAAACTAAATAAAGAATTCCTGCATTTAGTGGTTCTTTCAGATGCAATCAAATTCTAGAAAAGGTAGATTCAGAACAGATAATGAAGAGTTTTAAAGCCAGGTTACAGACAATGGGTTTTATCCTGTAGTCCAGTTGTTCTCAACTGTACTAAGGGTGATTTTGTCCCCCAGGGGACATTTAACAATGTCCAGAGACATTTGAGCTGTCACAACTTAGTAGGGGGTGTGATGCTATTGGTATATAATGGGCATTTTGTGATGCTGCTAAATATCCCACCATGCACAGGACAGTCCCCCGCAACAAATAATTATCTGGCCTAAAATGTAAATAGTGTAGAGGTGGAATAATGGTATGGTAATCTATCTGGGAGTGGAAATGTAGGGGTTGGAGACTTAGGGAGAGAACTTGCTTTGAAAAAGAGTTATATTTTAGGGCAGCGATTTTCAACCTTTTTTATCTCACGGCACACATAAATTAATTACTAAATTCTGTGGCACACCCAAAAATATGTATACTTTTTGCTGATCTGACAAAAAAAAAAAAAAAAGGTATAACTTTGATTCATTCACACTGGGAGGCTACTGTATTGGTTGTTGTCATTTTTTATTTGATACTCTAAGGGAAGAGGTCAGTGACCCTGACTAAACAGCCAGGTAGTTCATGTTTTAAAAATTCTTGCAGCACACCAGTTGAAAATCGCTGTTTTAGAGGAAAGTATCTAGATGCGTAACATATGAATAAGGAAGAAAGTGTACTACTTTCTAAATATTCAGTTCTTTTCTTACCTCACATGCTTATTACCTCAGTGCTCTAAGGGAAGCAAACATGTCCTTAATACAAAACTCATTTCATACCTCCTATATCCATTAATATCCTTCCTATTTCCTGTGTTGGGTAGAATTATTTAAATAACAATAAATGGCAGAAGTTGGGTTCTCTTTCAGGTTCCTTTGTTGTGGTTAATAAGAAAGAGGCAAACCAACCCCAAAGAAACCCATGGAACAACTCAGTTGATATATTGCTTCCACAACTCCAAAATGTAGGTTTGGGGGATGTAGTCTAATCTCAACCTGGGGTGCCTTACTCTAAATACACTTATTCCCTCAGGGCCTCAGTTTATCACAGGTTGTACACTCTGGGGCACTATCCTTTGCATTTTAAA